TGATGCAGTTTTTGTATTGAAGACAGAACGACTGCATGCGAACCAAGTGAAGAAATTTAATCTGTTTGTACAACAAAACAAATGAATGAAGGTCAGTAAGTTGAGTGTAATTACAACCCAAGGAAAATAAGAAACAGTCATTCAAAAAGATGTAACAGTTCCTTTCACACATCAATTTCCTGCGACGGATTAGAACTTCGCGGGAATATAACAGGCTAGAGTTAAAGTCGGTTTGTGGTCCAAAATAACCAAAAGATTCTTTCGAACAAGGTTACAAACAGTCTCCCCAAAACTGTTTCTGTCTTTTTATTCTAGCTTGCACCTCCAGAACTGCTAATTAAAATGGAACATAGGCAGACGAAAGGGTTCTTTCAGAGAAGCCAATGGTCGATATATTGATTGATTCACCTCCACCGGAAAGCTCTGACGAGTAGATGAAGCAGAATAATGGGCAATGATCTGATTAGTGACGGGTTGCATTTTTCAGGTCACAGTACCGCTTACCGAGTGAAAACCCACCACATCCCCTGACCCTGGCGCTACTGATCGGAGGCCGCCTAACCAGTAGGCCTGACAACGTCTTATCCACCGTGAGCAATTATCTGATGGTCGTTCTAACATCTGCCTGGGCACGCCCCAAGTGGCATGTAGCTTTGTATCTGACACGATATTGGTGTCACGAAAGCCAGGTTATACATAAACGAACAATTAATGTGTGCACGGTTACAGTTTAGTTGATGCTCACTGCTCAAAAGATGCTATACACACTACCATGAAAACAGGGTGGAAGGAGCGGAGATAAACTGAATGCGTTTGGTATCTATATCTTTATAAACATTTCATTTGTTCTAGAGTACCATATCGGGATTAGACTATTCGATTGTTCATAGGCACCGGGCATTATTGATGGTCCCGAGTGTGGTTTTCACTCCTTAGAATCTCGAAGTACTCACCAGAAAAATGCCATTTGTTTTATTTAGTTAAATTGAGAGCCTGATTACCAGTTTGATGAGGAAATATGAACACTGCTGATCATCTGCGAATCAGGATATCCTAAGCTTGCAAGCATCTTGACAACCAAAAACTTCAAGAGCAACAATTCGAGCCTGAGGAGACAAATTATATATTCTTACAGAGTAGTTGTGCGTCAGGAAATCGATAACTGTTCGCTGAACCTTTATACGCTGACTGCTGACGTGCGGAAGGTTGACCAAAGCTAGTGCAGATAACCTACATGAGTTACGCGTTAAAATAGTAGTAACTCATGGTCTGGGTTTGGGCCCTAGTTGGATTCACGAGATTTACCCCGCTGACGATTACTAAAAAGATTATTGTACCGTGATTTTCTTGGCACGGGGAACGTGGACTCTGCAGGATGAACACACCTTAAAGAGACAGGCAATCACATAAACCATTTCGTGTCAAAAGAAATCAGGTTTTTCTACATTTATTTCTTAGAGTTTCTGGAAGAGGGAGATTACTCCTGACTGAAAACCTCCACCTTACAAATCTTTTAAATGGATCATAGTTCGCTTGATAGACCTACGGTATTAAAAACAAGCAACCGGTTACCCGAAGTAAGTGAAGGCATTTTTCGATGCTATTTTCAACAGGCAAACTTATCACACCAATTTTGTGCATCAACATTTTCAACTAACGACTGTTAGCATCACCATCTCTATAATTATTAGGATAATCACCAGCTAAGGTTGGCACAACTGAAAGCAGATCTATCAC